CTCAGCACCGGATCGCACGTTTCAATGGGAACCTACGTCTCTCAGCACCGGATCGCTCGTTTCAGGAGTCATGACTATCCACGCTTAGTGCCAGTCTGTCCGCAGGCTTGGAAGTCATGACTATCCATGCTTATTTGCAGTCTATCTGCTATTGTAGCTTTAGTGTTGCACACGTACTTTGTAAATTGGAGGTGCTGGGTTAGAACCCAGTTGCAGGCCATGTGGAAACAGACCGCTGTGCGTCGTTTTCGGCAATTGTATCCATAGCTGACCGTTCTTTGAGCAATGATAAACTACTGAACGTAAAAGTGATTAGTAAAACTAAACAGGCCAAATATGCTGGGTCTAGTTCTGCGACCTCTTCTAAAGGAGGCGCAACTAACTATAATGATAATAATACTTATTAATAATATTATTATTGCCAAATGCGCCCAAATATATATATATATATATATATATATATATATATATATATATATATATATATATATATATATATATATATATAAGCATATGATAAGAGGATGGAGTAGTAAAAAATTTTAAAGCTTTATCGTGGCTCAGTTGTAACACTACAATACATCAATACAAAAGCAGTTCGATGAAAAATACAAATGTAACCTGACTTGACCCTGTTGAGTAGAGTCGAGTTCCTACTAGAATGGTGCCGAGAAAGATGATAGGGTGGGGCGGCAGGAGGGGGGGGGGGGAGATGTTATTGCTTGGAAGGAAAGTCCCCCTTCAGGAAAACTTCAGGAATCTGAAATTTTTGTGTTTTTCTGCCTCTTTTGCCTCCTTGGCCCAGGTTCAGGCTCACCAGGTTTGACTTTTACTGAAATCTATCCATAGAACTTTGCTTCTGCCTTCTGCTTAGGATATCTGGGAAATAGGACATTGTCTGAAAATACCAGATAATGTCATTATGACTTGTTTGAGCTTGTTCAGTCTATGTTCGGCTGGAGCTTCTCTTGTTCAGTCTATGTTCGGCTGGAGCTTCTCTTGTTCAGTCTATGTTCGGCTGGACCTTCTCTTGTTCAGTCTATGTTCAGCTGGAGCTTCTCTTCACATTTTGTAAAATCCATGAGATGGTATTATTAAAGGTATTAAAATAAATTGCTTGAATACCTCTGTATCTACCTGACCGTTGTGTCTACATGATCTTCAACCACATACGAAGAGTGGCTGGCAGAGTGGGTAGAACAGGAGACCTTTGTTCAAATTCTTGGTAAGGGAATGCATTTTATTGTTTACATCAATGGCAAAAATAAACATAGTCACCTGCAGAGGTGGTGAAGCACTAGCTATACTGTACGGCCCAGAATCCTCATGTTCAAGACCCCAGCTCCGACTTGGTTTGTTGCCTGTCCTTTACAGGCCGTTAAAGAACCAACCCCAGAAATGTTTGGCTGTTTGCGATTTAGCTTGATCTGAAGTGCTACACCGTTGAAGAACCAACCAGTGTTGCAACTTTTCGAAGAAAAAAAACAAACATCCAAAACGGAGTCAAAAAATATCTAAAAACATCTAAATTTGCGTGTAGAACATCTAGAAAAACATCCAAATAGAAAGAGTCACAAATAACATCAATTGATATGGCTTACCTTATAGAATCATGTCCTCATCCTTTCTGAATTCTGCCTCACAAGATCCACAGGATAAACCTAGCCTGGATGATGAAGCTGAAGCTTCAGATCCAAAAATGGCTCTGGTATGCTTTCACTGTTCCAATTTATTTTAATACCCAATCAGGGAGCTGATAGGTGGAATAGCCTGTTCCTACTCTTATCAGGCCGAGTTTGGTTGTCAAGATAGCATTTAAGAGGTCAAATTTCATCCTGTTTCTTAGGTTAGATTTGATAAATTCACTCCAAATGAAAAACATCTACCATCTAAATGCCATCTAAATGCAAGAAAAAACATTTAAATCTGGATGTAAAACATCCAAAGTGGCAACACTGGAATCAACCCCAGCAATGTTTGGCTGTTTGCGATTGAGCTTGATCTGAAGTGCTACAGAAAAAATTCTTGGAAAACCGTCTACCCATCCATTTATGAAAATGGAACCAAAAATCAACCACGTTCAACTTACTGCGAACAGTATCGGTTATAACTGTGGTCTGAATTGCTTTTGCCAATTATGCTGGCTAAGAAATGAAAATCCCACCAAAACTAGTGGCTTGAACCGGTACTCTTGTATCTATTGAGGGTTGTTGAGGAGGGGCTTGTATGCACCATACACAGCCACAAACATACTAGATAGAGAGCTAGAAGGAAGACAAACACGCCAACATCCTCCGTGACCTGAACATCAAGGACAACTGGCTGGTAAATAACATCCTGCATGACTTGAACATCAAGGACAACTGGCTGGTAAATAACATCCTGCATGACTTGAACATCAAGGACAACTGGCTGGTAAATAACATCCTGCATGACTTGAACATCAAGGACAACTGGCTGGTAAATAACATCCTGCATGACTTGAACATCAAGGACAACTGGCTGGTAAATAACATCCTGCATGACCTGAACATCAAGGACAACTGGCTGGTAAATAACATCCTGCATGACTTGAACATCAAGGAGAACTGGCTGGTAAATAACATCCTCTCCTAAAAGCTGATACATTTTATACGTGCCAAGTACCACGGCTGTGTGTTAGAAATTTGTGATGGGGGCTCTAGTTTACGGAAGACGAGGCAGAGGCCGAACAATGCGAAGATGGATGCAGAAAACTGAAGATGCATGGGCTTCGAAAGCACACAGGACTGAAGAATCTGATAAGAGACATTTTTTGGCGTGGCGTGAAGAGAGCGACGTTCTATACACGACATTCTGATTGACTGAGTTTGATACTGCATCGTGCATGGTTAGCTCTCAATAAAAATGTTGAAACCAACGCAAATCAGACTACCGCCAAATGGCCTGCAGCTGGAATCAAACCCGACACAACCCACTTACGAGGCGAGTTGGGAGCGCTTAAGCCACAGAGGCTATCACAGGCCCTAAACCACGCAGATAAAAGGGGCCAGTAGAGGCAGTTACGGTGTTTAGTTTCTGTTCCCTTTCTAAAGGGGGTTACTAGAGGCAGTTACAGTGTTTAGTTTCTGTTCCCTTTCTAAAGGGGGTTACTAGAGGCAGTTACAGTGTTTTGTTTCTGTTACCTATCTAAAGGGGGATCACTAGAGGCAGCTACAGTGTTTAGTTTCTGTTCCCTATCTAAAGGGGGGTCACTAGAAGCAGCTACAGTGTTTAGATTCTGTTCCCTTTCTAAAGGGGGTTACTAGAGGCAGTTACAGTGTTTAGTTTCTGTCCTCATGTAAAGGGGGTCAATAGAGGCAGTTACAGTGTTTAGTTTCTGTTCCTCAACTAAAAGGGTCGCTAGAGGCAGTTACAGTGTTTAGTTTCTGTTCCCTATCTTAAAAAAAAAGGGGGGGGGGGGGTCCACTAGAGGCAGTTACAGTGTTTAGTTTCTGTCCTCATCTAAAGGGGGTCAAAAGAGGCAGTTACAGTGTTTAGTTTATGTCCACATCTAAGGGGGTCAATAGAGACAGTTACAGTGTTTAGTTTCTGTACCTCATCTAAAGGGGGTCAATAGAGGCAATTACAGTGTTTAGTTTCTGTTTCCCATCTAAAGGGGGTCAATAGAGGAGTTAACGTGTTTAGTTTCTGTTCCTCATCTAAAGGGGGTCAAAAGAGGCAGTTACAGTGTTTAGTTTCTGTTGCCCGACTAAAGGGGGTCAACAGAGGCAGTTACAGTGTTTATTTTCTGTTGCCCAACTAAAGGGGGTCAACAGAGGCAGTTACAGTGTTTATTTTCTGTTGCCCATCTAAAGGGGGTCAACAGAGGCAGTTACAGTGTTTAGTTTCTGTTGCCCAACTAAAGGGGGTCAACAGAGGCAGTTACAGTGTTTAGTTTCTGTTGCCCAACTAAAGGGGGTCAACAGAGGCAGTTACAGTGTTTAGTTTCTGTTGCCCAACTAAAGGGGGTCAACAGAGGCAGTTACAGTGTTTAGTTTCTGTTGCCCAACTAAAGGGGGTCAACAGAGGCAGTTACAGTGTTTATTTTCTGTTGCCCATCTAAAGGGGGTCAACAGAGGCAGTTACAGTGTTTAGTTTCTGTTGCCCAACTAAAGGGGGTCAATAAAGGCAGGTAAAGTGTTTAGTTTTTGTTCCTCATCTAAAGGGTGTCAACAGAGGCCGGTAAAGTGTTTAGTTTCTGTTCACCATCTAAAGGGGGTCAATAGAGGCAGGTAAAGTATTTAGTTTCTGTACCCCATCTAAAGGGGGTCACTAGAGGCAGTTACACTGCTTAGTTTCTGTTTCCCATCTGAAGGGCCCAGGGACTCTGTTTATAGTGACACCTTAACAGCCATTGCCTCATTCCATGATGTTTCCATCTCTTCCACATATGAAATACTTTAACGATGGAAGCCAGCTAGCCAGACATGAGTTAATACAGGCTAGTCAGACATGAGTTAACACCAGCCAGCCAGACATGAGGTAATACAAGCTAGCCAGACATGAGTTAACACCAGCTAGCCAGACGTGAGTTAACACCAGCTAGCCAGACATGAGTTAACACCAGCTAGCCAGACATGAGTTAACACCAGCTAGCCAGACATGAGTTAACATCAGCCAGCCAGACATGAGTTAACACCAGCTAGCCAGACATAAGTTAACACCAGCTAGCCAGACATGAGTTAACACCAGCTAGCCAGACATGAGTTAACACCAGCCAGCCAGACATGAGTTAATACCAGCTAGCCAGACATGAGTTAACACCAGATAGCCAGACATAAGTTAACACAACCAACTATACTGTGCCTCAAGAAAGCCAAAATATCACCAGCCAGGGAACAGCTTGTGCACGCCGTCTTCTCACGCGCGCCGCACGCGATCTATAGTCACGTGATATTGTTTGCTTCTCAGAAATCAAACTTGTAGTCTAATAAACTGTACAGCTTCGAACTGACACCCTTCTGTCCAGTTTAGCCAGCATGTGGCGGACACGGATTGGGAACCAATGGTTCTGGTTTGGATTTTATCTGTTCTTTCTACTGGACCATATCGACGCCGAGATGGATGAGTCAGGTAGGGATTTGGGCTAGTGCCGAAATGTGCTCAGCTGTGTGTACCAACAGGGGGTGCGGGTGTGCCAGCACGAGAGGCTGTGTCGAGAGTCGTGTGTGTATCAGGCTTTTGTGTCCTAGTTTTGTGAGCGACAAGCTGCGTTAGCGTTAGAGCTAGAAGTGTAGAGTGGTCTTAGAGACAGACACTTAGCGTTAGTGTTAGAGACAGGCACTAAGCGTTAGTCTTAGAGACAGGCACTTAGCGTTAGTGTTAGAGACAGGCACTTAGCGTTAGTGTTAGAGACAGCCAGTTAGCGTTAGTGTTAGAGACAGGCACTTAGCGTTAGTGTTAGAGACAGGCGCTTAGCGTTAGTGTTAGAGACAGGCACTTAGCGTTAGTGTTAGAGACAGACACTTAGCGTTAGTGTTAGAGACAGGCACTTAGCGTTACCGTTAGAGACAGCCAGTTAGCGTTAGTGTTAGAGACAGGCACTTAGCGTTAGTGTTAGAGACAGGCACTTAGCGTTAGTGTTAGAGACAGGCACTTAGCGTTAGTGTTAGAGACAGACACTTAGCGTTAGTGTTAGAGACAGGCACTTAGCGTTAGTGTTAGAGACAGCCAGTTAGCGTTAGTGTTAGAGACAGGCACTTAGCGTTAGTGTTAGAGACAGGCACTTAGCGTTAGTGTTAGAGACAGCCAGTTAGCGTTAGTGTTAGAGACAGGCACTTAGCGTTAGTGTTAGAGACAGGCACTTAGCGTTAGTGTTAGAGACAGCCAGTTAGCGTTAGTGTTAGAGACAGGCACTTAGCGTTAGTGTTAGAGACAGACACTTAGCGTTAGTGTTAGAGACAGGCACTTAGCGTTAGTGTTAGAGACAGGCACTTAGAGTTAGTGTTAGAGACAGGCAGTTAGTGTTAGAGACAGGCACTTAGCGTTAGTGTTAGAGACAGGCACTTAGCGTTAGTGTTAGAGACAGCCAGTTAGCGTTAGTGTTAGAGACAGGCACTTAGCGTTAGTGTTAGAGACAGGCGCTTAGCGTTAGTGTTAGAGACAGGCACTTAGCGTTAGTGATAGAGACAGACACTTAGCGTTAGTATTAGAGGCAGACATGTATCGTTAGTATAAGAGACAGCCAGTTAGTGTTAGAGACAGGCACTTAGCGTTAGTGTTAGAGACAGGCACTTAGCGTTAGTGTTAGAGACAGCCAGTTAGTGTTAGTGTTAGAGACAGGCACTTAGCGTTAGTGTTAGAGACAGGCACTTAGCGTTAGTGTTAGAGACAGCCAGCTAGCGTTAGTGTTAGAGACAGGCACTTAGCGTTAGTGTTAGAGACAGACACTTAGCGTTAGTGTTAGAGACAGGCACTTAGCGTTAGTGTTAGAGACAGGCACTTAGGGTTAGTGTTAGAGACAGCCAGTTAGTGTTAGAGACAGGCACTTAGCGTTAGTGTTAGAGACAGGCACTTAGCGTTAGTGTTAGAGACAGCCAGTTAGCGTTAGTGTTAAAGACAGGCACTTAGCGTTAGTGTTAGAGACAGGCGCTTAGCGTTAGTGTTAGAGACAGGCACTTAGCGTTAGTGTTAGAGACAGCCAGTTAGCGTTAGTGTTAGAGACAGGCACTTAGCGTTAGTGTTAGAGACAGGCACTTAGCGTTAGTGTTAGAGACAGGCACTTAGCGTTAGTGTTAGAGACAGCCAGTTAGCGTTAGTGTTAGAGACAGGCACTTAGCGTTAGTGTTAGAGACAGACACTTAGCGTTAGTGTTAGAGACAGGCACTTAGCGTTAGTGTTAGAGACAGGCACTTAGCGTTAGTGTTAGAGACAGCCAGTTAGCGTTAGTGTTAGAGACAGGCATTTAGCGTTAGTGTTAGAGACAGACACTTAGCGTTAGTGTTAGAGACAGGCACTTAGCGTTAGTGTTAGAGACAGGCACTTAGGGTTAATGTTAGAGACAGCCAGTTAGTGTTAGAGACAGGCACTTAGCGTTAGTGTTAGAGACAGGCACTTAGCGTTAGTGTTAGAGACAGCCAGTTAGCGTTAGTGTTAGAGACAGGCACTTAGCGTTAGTGTTAGAGACAGGCGCTTAGCGTTAGTGTTAGAGACAGCCAGTTAGCGTTAGTGTTAGAGACAGGCACTTAGCGTTAGTGTTAGAGACAGACACTTAGCGTTAGTGTTAGAGACAGGCACTTAGCGTTAGTGTTAGAGACAGGCACTTAGGGTTAATGTTAGAGACAGCCAGTTAGTGTTAGAGACAGGCACTTAGCGTTAGTGTTAGAGACAGGCACTTAGCGTTAGTGTTAGAGACAGCCAGTTAGCGTTAGTGTTAGAGACAGGCACTTAGCGTTAGTGTTAGAGACAGGCGCTTAGCGTTAGTGTTAGAGACAGGCACTTAGCGTTAGTGTTAGAGACAGACACTTATCGTTAGTATTAGAGGCAGACATGTATCGTTAGTATAAGAGACAGACATGTATCGTTAGTATTAGAGACAGACATGTATCGTTAATATTAGAGGCAGACTTGTATCGTTAGTATTAGAGACAGACATTTATCGTTAGTATTAGAGACAGACATGTATCGTTAGTATTAGAGACAGACTTGTATCGTTAGTATTAGAGACAGACATGTATCGTTAATATTAGAGGCAGACTTGTATCGTTAGTATTAGAGACAGACATGTATCGTTAGTATTAGAGATAGACATGTATCGTTAATATTAAAGACAGAGATGTATCGTTAATATTAAAGACAGACATGTATCGTTAATATTAGAGGCAGAAATGTACGTTAGCATTAGAGGCAGACATGTACACCATATTAGGTATTGTACAAAATAGAGGTTAACTATGGTGGTTATAAGTTGGCATACACTTGAAAAGTACCATAGTTTTGAAAGCACATTTTCATTCTTGTCTACCACTTAAAAAAAAAAAAACAGATTTAAGCACAACTGGGGTTTGCTTGTATTGGCACTGGTGATATCCCCCCTCCCCCCTCCCTCCCTTTTTTCCACCCACGGATATCTGTGGGAGACCCTGGAAAATAAATTTCAGTCCTGTTATATGGCAACAAATCACGGACACTCAAAAGAGCAGAAATGCCAAGAATGTAGGTTCATTAAAAGTGACGTTGGTCTTCCTACGCCCCCCCACCCCCACCATATACACACTAGCTCACTTATGATTGGTAGTTGCTGAACCTGTCATCTTGGCACAAGGTTACAGGGGTGTTTTGCATTGCCGTTGATATCGAGTGTGGCCTATTTCAGCACACCAGCGCTTTTAACACTCCTCCAGAGAGTGCTGCAACCTGTGTCTCAGGCATTCTCTTTCTCGGAATGAAAACGTAAATGCAAGACATCACAGAAAGCAAACAACAGAGCGGGACACACCCGTAACCTTCAGGAAGGTCGACGAGCCGAACAAACTTGTGAATGAAAAATGACCTACTCTTTCTGGGGAGGTTAACCTGAACCTAACCGTACTTTCTACTAAAGAAATGACGCCTGCTCTGGTTGGGACCTATCTCCCGCGTGGAGGGTCACATTCCAAACGATATCCCCTATGGTGAACCGTCAACAATGAAAATATCTACTCTATGGTCAAGGCTAGGATATAAAGACATGCAAACACGACCTGAAAAATATTAGCATTGACACATAAACCTAGGAGAGACCAGCTGCAGACGGAATCCTTTGGCAGGAGACTGTCGAAGACGAATTGTCGAACTCACAAGAGGCCAAACGCAGCAAGCTAGATACAGAAGACGTCTAAGAGATGACCAGCCTCAGGATAACTGGGTCTCAACGTTTCCATATAGTCGGAGTGGCAGAGAATGTCAATCCTACCTAGGACTGTAAGTAATAGCCGGCGATGATCCCAGAACTAGCGATACAGCTCCAGGGTGACTAGAAACTGGCGGTTTCTTAGGAGAAACGCTAGATCTGTGGATATACAGAGCGGTCTCTGCTACGTATGGCTCGTTTTTTTTCGTTCAAGTTATTTAAGCTGCATGATGATTGAATTAGAATATTCATCTCATAACGTAGATCAATGGTCTCCAAGGGTCTGGATGTGGAGACAGAGAGAGAGAGAGAGAGAGAGAGAGAGAGAGAGAGAGAGAGAGAGAGAAAGAGAGAGAGAGAGAGAGAGAGAGAGAGAGAGAGAGAGAGCAAAAGAAGAAGACATTTTCTCGCGACGCTTAGGCCTGACAGCCTAGTGGCACGGAAGGCAGAAGCGACAAATGAAAGGCATAAATAAACAACTGTGCCCTACCGTCTGTGATGGCGAACATGAAGGGACATACTCGTGTCTGCTGATCGATATTTTACTCCAGTTTCGGTTTATTTCTCTCTTATTCACGTGTTTCTACAGTCTGCCTATCTATCTATCTATCTATCTATCTATCTATCTATCTATCTATCTATCTATCTATCTATCTATCTATCTATCTATCTATCTATCTATCTATCTATCTATCTATCTATCTATCTATCTATCTATCTATCTATCTATCTATCTATCTATCTATCTATCTATCTATCTATCTATCTATCTATCTATCTGTCTGTCTGTCTGTCTGTCTGTCTGTCTGTCTGTCTGTCTGTCTGTCTGTCTGTCTGTCTGTCTGTCTGTCTGTCTGTCTGTCTGTCTGTCTGTCTGTCTGTCTGTCTGTCTGTCTGTCTGTCTGTCTGTCTGTCTGTCTGTCTGTCTGTCTGTCTGTCTGTCTGTCTGTCTGTCTGTCTGTCTGTCTGTCTGTCTGTCTGTCTGTCTGTCTGTCTGTCTGTCTGTCTGTCTGTCTGTCTGCCTGCCTGCCTGCCTGCCTGCCTGCCTGCCTGCCTGCCTGCCTGCCTGCCTGCCTGCCTGCCTGCCTGCCTGCCTGCCTGCCTGCCTGCCTGCCTGCCTGCCTGCCTGCCTGCCTAGCTAGCTAGCTAGCTAGCTAGCTAGCTATCTATCTATCTATCTATCTATCTATCTATCTATCTATCTATCTATCTATCTATCTATCTATCTATCTATCTATCTATC